GATTCTCATTTGCCTCTTAGCTGTGACGCGCCCCTGGCCCAGTTATCAGCGGGCTGGGTGTGGTGCGAAAACCTGCCTAGATTATACAACAATATGCTTTTGTCTGTGCATTTATCGAATGTATCACACCCCCGAGACGCCGATTACTCACGGGGCATTCAGGTGGGAACTGGAATTACGGTTGTTGCTTCATGCTCCACAGAAGAATATATGTAGAAAAAGCTTTTAACGAGGGAATGGCACCCGCTCAGGGGGGGCTAAACCTTCGACTGCTGTTAGACAATGACTGAGCTCTCTGGGGCTTAGAAAGGATGGGGAGACTCCTGGCTTCACCCGCCTGGAGAACAATGGGCCCTTTCGAGAGAGGGCAATTCTGTGCGAGTTTTTCTGACGCTCTGACGCATCAGCCTCGGTTGACAAGAAGTGACTGTTCATCGTATCCCCCCCCCCCAAAACAAGCTACTTGTTCTCAACTGGCTGGGCAGGTGGGGGTAAGCGAAGGCCAGGAGGCAGAGGGGAAAACTGATACGCTGCTTTGCATTTCTCTGACAATACAAACCATCCGTAAATAGTGAAAGCAGTGAGCGCATACCAGCGGATCTGACCCTTCAACTTCATTACAAGACTGAAGGTTGATCATTGATACCTCCCAAAATATCCCGTGGTAACATCCGCATTCGGGTTCTTGTTTACCATCGATGTATGGAATTATTAAGTGAAACACACACCCGTGGACATTCCCAGACAACGACTCCGTTAAGATGGAGTTACGGTTGAGAATACATCAGTAAAATACATGACATAGGGGAATTGTAACTAGCCCATAACAACGCATTATAAACCCAGGAAATTCAGAGTGAACGTTAACTCTGTCTTGGGACAAAATAAGTGGGAAAAATGTCTAATGTGCCTGTAAAAATCTGCTTCATCTTTGCTGAGCTCACAAACACTGAACTTAATCGTACGTGTCTTGGGGGGTGCCAAAGGACAGAGTTAAGGTTATTTAACATGTCCAGATTTCTTTTAAGTGTAACCTTAATTGGGTTTATAATGTTCAGTTGTAGGAAAATTATTTTACCTTAAGGTTAGGATGACCAGACAGCAAGTGTGAAAAATCGGGGCAGGGGGTGGGGGGTAATAGGAGCCTATATAAGAAAAAGACCCCAAAATCAGGACTGTCCCTATAAAATCGGGACATCTGGTCACCCTACCTGCGGTACAGGTGAGGACTCTGAACCTTAGCTCCCTCGGCTGTAGCTCTTTCCTGGGAAGGTCCAAAGGGTTGACTTTCACGTGCCGCTGACTTACCGCCATCAGTGAGGTGAACAGGTCTGCCCCGCTCAGCTGCAGCGCGTTGCCCAGAAGCGGCAGAGGAGTCGGTCCGGGGGGAAATTTGCTGCTTTCCCGCTGCCGTTTCCACTCCCAGAGGAGAGCCAGGCACAAAGCGCCAGCAGCCAGGACAAGAGTGGCTGCTCCCCCCAGCTCCATCGCGCCAGCCACCCGAGGGCCAGGAGCAGCCGGAGGGTCAGACATGGGTTCCAGGAGCTGAATCTCGTGGCACCTGGCAAGGTTGATCTAGTTCACCTGATGCTTGGACGCGTCCGTATTCCCCAGAGCTGGGCGCAACTCAGAAATTGACAGTCCGGGGGTGATTTTGCCAGCCAGTCACTGGAGCGCTGGCCTTAATAACGCCTTTGGGATCACGAGGGGATTGGAAAACATCCCGTGTCAAAGCTGTTCTGGGATCCAGTGCCTTGGGGCTGTTCTGTTTGCTTGTTTAAGCCCAGGCCACGTGGCCGAGTCTTATGATCTAGGCAGCGGAGCAATTATCTTCCAAAAGACACCCAGGCAAGATAGCTGGGGATGGGCAGCCACCTCCGAAGAAGCCACACAGATGTTTCCGTGTGCGGGACACTGAGCCGAACGCCGATCTCCCTCACGCTGCCTCTGCAGTAAGAGGTGCAGGTAAGTCTCTGCGTGTCTAGCCAGTGAGAAAGCTGGGCCCTGCTCCAGAAAAGGACATGGGCACCGACGTGTCCGCACCCCGGAGATCCTCCAAGCCCGCTGCTCGGCTGCTGCCTGCAGTCCCCGAGCAAGCGCCGAAGTTTCTAGGAGTATGCGGCTAGCCATCCTCCGGCTGGGCGTTCCCGGCCTCGCTTGTGGTAGGCGTGTTCCGAGCCCACCTAAACCACATCAAAGGGCCGGAGGAGGAGGCACTCCCCTCGTCGCCTGGAGCCCAGCAGCTCCAGCGCTCTGCCAGGATGTGGGCAGCTCCCCTCCCCGCTCTGCCTGGCGTGGGGCTGGGAGGTGAAGTTGGACCCCGGGCTCTCTCTTTGTCTCTGCGGCCCGGTGCGTATTTAATGATTTAGACACAGCGGGCATAACGGCGAGGTCACCGGGCGGCCGTTAAAGCCGCGTCAGGTGGGTGGGTTCAGATGACTGGGGAATATGGGGGACCCCTTAGCTCATGCTAAGGTCCTTCAGTCCTAACCGCTAGCCCCCCGTTCTATTCCACTGCCGGGACCCACCTCTGTCCTGAGCCTCGGCACCCCCCAGTTCTCCCTGTGCCCTGCAGCCAGTGCCCCTCGGCCCAAACACCCAGCCCCCCGACCTCTCCCGAGAGCACAATTCTGCCTGCCTGCTCTCGTGATTCGGGGGATTGATGTGCGACGTAGGAACTGTTCTTGGGTCGCACACACAGGCACCGACTTTACAATGTGCTGGGGGCTGCTCGACCCCTGGCTCTGCTCCAGGCCCCGCCCCCACTCCACCCCTTCCTCCAATGCCCCATCCCCACCCGCCTCTTCCCACCCCTGCCCTGCCCCTCCCAGCCTCTTCCCGTCCCATTCCTCCCCCGAGTGCGCCGCGTCCTCCCCCCAGAGCCTCCTGCACGCCGCGAAACACCTGATTGAGGAGGGAGGGGGAGGTGCTGATCGGCACGGCCCGCCGGGGGCAGGAGGAGTGTGTGTGGGGGGGAAGTTCTAATAGGGGGGCTGCCATTTTTTTCCCGTGGGTACTCCAGCCCCAGAGCACCCACGCAGTCGGTGCCTGTGGTCGCCTGGCCACCATCTTCCATTCAGAATAACTGCAAAGAAGCCAGGTGGCTGAAACAATAGCAGTGCCGCCCCCCCCCCCCCCAAAAACCCCCAGGCGGATGGAAAAGCTGCATCGAAGCTGAATCCCGCGGTGAAGGGGTTTTGAATTCAGGAGCCGGGGCTGTTTTGGTGGGCGTGCATGCGAGCGCAGACCCGGGACAAGCTGCAGCATGGCAGGAAGGAGAAGCCAAGAGGCGCAGCAGGAAAGCCCAACGCAGTCGGCCTCAGCGAGCTGGCGGAAAGCGGCCGGTGCTGCGAGCGAGGAAGCTGTCTCCTGTGCTCGGAGAAGCAGGACTTCGGGACTCCATTGTCAACGGCTCCTCCCGGCTGCAACAGCCTGCAGGGCCCCCAGATTCCCCTGGCCGCTTGGGCCAAAAAGGGGTAACGAGATTATGGAGTTGGGGCGATGAAAACTCCCGTCTCTCCGTGTGCCCCATGGCTGGGCAGCCTTCACGCCGGCCTCGCTGGAAGAAAGAGTCGTTTGAGCGCCGCGGCCATCCATTCAGGGTGACGCACCTGGGGTCAGGCTGGGAGAAGATGCGTCCTTCTCTTGTCTGCAGGGAGACATGGGAAGTGAAGGGAAATTCCCCAGGGGAATGGGGCCGGCTCCCTGCTGGGGTGAATGGGCCGGAGCTCCATTGGGGT